AAAACTATTTTAACCGTATTCTGACAGCTGTGATTAATAAAAACAATTGTCATGGTTTTTACTTTTCAGAGCCACCTATGCGTTATAGACTTATTTTGCATTGAAATGAAAATAGGTTGATATGCTGTAATTACAACATGTGTTATGTTTATGCTGCAAATTTGATTAGGGAGTGATAAAGTTGGTGCTTTCTACTATATATTATCAAAATATTCATTGTTAATATTTTAAACCTATAACACCCTGCTACATTTTTATTATTTGTGTTTGATAAGAAAAAAACTAAGATTTCAATAGTTGGGCCAACTGAAGTGGGAAGGGACTCGTGTATATACTTATATATATATATATATGGCAAAAGATACAATTAATTGTCAGTTGGAAAATTGGCAAACTTTTAAGCTTTAGTTAACTCTTTTGACGATAAAATCAAGCTTTCGGCGATTCTCTATGGATTTTTTGCCCAACTGGTCGTTGGCAATGGAAATGACTACTGCTCATATATATATATATATATATAAAGAGAAAATTATCATGCGGAGAAAGGTATATAACAAAAATAGGAAAATAATGGGCAAAATCCGCAAAAAGTGGATTCGAGCAGAAAATAGTATAGGTAACCCGAGCGATACGTATTTCTGCTGGTTGGCTTCATCAGCCCCGAAATGAATGCACATATGCAACTACAAAAGTTCGGGATACGGGTGTAATCTGAGGAAACGAAGATGGAGAGGAAAAAAGACACACGAAGTCCACAACAACAGCCAACCTACACATTGTAGTATAAATGGCTAGAAGATCTCGAATTCTCAAGGCGACAAATAACCACAACCACGCGGCCGGTTATACCCACTTGCTGTGGTACTTCAAGCCCAAAGGATCTACAAAGAGAAAATTATCATGTGGAGAAAGGTATATAACAAAAATAGGAAAATAATGGGCAAAATCGGCAAAAAGTGGATTCGATACTACAATGTGTAGGTTGGCTGTTGTTGTGGACTTCGTGTGTCTTTTTTTCCTCTCCATCTTCGTTTCCTCAGGTTGCACCCGTATCCGGATGTGTGGGCATGTGTATCTACTTTTGTAGTTACATATGTGCATTCATTTTGGGCCTGATGAAGCCAACCAGCAAAAATACGCTCGGGTTACCTATCCTATTTTTTGCGCGAATCCAGTTTCCTCCTTTTTGCTGATTTTGCCCATAATTTTCCTACTTCTTGTTATATACCTTTCTCCGCACGATCATTTTCTTTCTGTTGATCCTTTGAGCTTGAAGTACCACAGCAAGTGGCTATAACCGACCGCGTGGTTGTGGTTAGATGTCTCCTTGAAAATTCGAGGTCTTCTAGCCATTTTATACTACAAGGTGTAGGTTGGCTCTTGTTGTGGACTTCGTGTGCTGTTTTTTTCTCTCCATCTTCATTTCCTCCTCCCCGTCTCCGAATGTGTGGGCATGTGTATCTACTTTTGTAGTTGCATTCATTTCGGGCCTGATGAAGCCAACCAGCAGAAAAACGTATCGCTCGGGTTACCTATCCTATTTTCTGCTCGAATCCACTTTCCTCCTTTTTGCGGATTTTGTCCATTATTTTCATACTTGTTATGTTGTGATTCTTCGATCGAATGTGATGTAAATGGGTACTTACAAACGAATTTCGGAAATTCCACCCCTAAAAAAGTAATGAGTGGTGATTAACACTTTTTGAGTTGGTGCTGGAAATGTAGAATATTTCAAATTAAGGCAGCCTAGAAGTATGAGCGCGTTTTGTGTCCAATTTTATCTTCAAACTATTATTGAAGAGTCATAAAAACCATGTAGTATAGGAGTGGGTTGAATATTTCTAGGAACCTTATCAATTTTTTGAGTTCATAAAAAATTCTCTCGAACATCATTTGACCGATGAACATTAAGCTTGGCAGGGAAATAGTTTCAGTTTTCTGCTGGATACCTAAAAATTGGCAATAATGAGGTGCTAGTTAGAGTAGACTTAAACTAAGAATGGAATACGTAACCCGGAATGTAGGTGGGAGGCCCCAATTTTTAAAATGAGTAATTTGGTTTAATTTAAAATGTTAACTTCACAATTTTGGTAATTTTAATACCGCCCCGCGGTTTTAACCAAATATCCCAAGTTACAAGTTGTCTGTCAAATTACTAATGCCATCAAATTGACAAAGAGTGGTCGTAAGGTATCGCAATACTTAAAAGCTATATTTTATGTTAGTACCAATTTCAGGCTTTAGAAGTCGCGGGTAACAGCTAGCACCTATTACGTATAAGCCGACGTTTAAGTAGCCTTTCGCTTCAGTGCACATTCACTATTTTCAAGAATCTCTATCTGTAAGACCAGCGATCTAATGAAAAAAGAGACGGTCAAATAAAAATCAAATTAATCTAAATAGGTTTAATTTCTTCATTAACATGTTAAAATATACATCACGAAAACGGAAGTAACAGGACACAAGTCATGGACACAACTATGTAAGCGTCACACAGTGCAGATAGTAACAAATAAGAAAAAGATTTACAAATTACAATAAATACAGACAGCACACTGAAAAAATACTGCCACCCTATCAAGAACTGTTTGAATTCCTTTGAATAGTTAGACTCTTGGCGAAGACGCCAGTGAATAAGGAAGCCCTGTCATAGGCGACATATTTTACAGTATAATATTTCTCCAAACTGCCATTTCTCATGCACGGTGTTCAATAGCAGCCCCGTCGTCAAAATTTGCAATCGTTGTCGTGTTTATCATGTTGTCACAGCTCTGATACCAAGAGTACTGACGACCAGCATATAGTGTCTAAACGTAGTAAGCTGTCAAAATACTTTTATCCAATGTTTCACGTGATTATTGCAATCACGATCGCGATATAGTTAACCCACTGTAGCAGTTTTACTTTTTATGCAAGACCGTCCAAAACAATTAACAGTTTTTATGAGTCATATGAGATCTGCAACACGAAAGTTGTGGCACTCATTTCCGTCGGTCTGTCGGTCTATCCGCTGATCCAAGGCGTGTATATAACTTGTAAAGTACCGCTCGGATTTGATAAGATTTTCACAAAAGGCTTCAACTACAAGGACGAAAAAGCTTTATAGTTTTTGGTATGTTTCTGTTTTTCTTTTTATGTCCGGAAATTGAAGTTTGTCAGCCCAGCAACGGACTACGTTCAAAGCTGCTTGCTTTGTTCAACCATAAGTCGTCGGGGTCGCAAGTGGCAGGTCAAGAGATGTTTGTATAGCGCCGCAGCCACACTTAGTATCTCCTTCAGGTCTAAGGCCCCATTTAATTTGGTTAATTTTTACTGGCGCTATGCCTGTTCTAATACGATTCAGTGTTCTCCAAGTCGACCACTCGGAGTCAGTACCGCTGGGTATCTCTAGGATGAGCGGGTAGTTGGCAGGTGAACCGTCCAAAGTCAAATCCAGAAGTCTTCTAAGTGTCTTTAATTGGAGGATAGATAATGATGCTCATCAATTGTTTGCTTACACTCTTCTGTGAACGCATGCGCCTGTCTCGGTAGTTCGGACTGTCAAAGCCTTATGGATCTTATTGATTTGGGTAGACTTCTTGCAGACTGTTATTAATATGCATGTTTTATCGAGGCGGGCATCAATTTGTTTTTTTTTTTGGCGTGGGTTGATTTGGACCAGATTGGGCAACATATTCTGCCGTGCCTGGGCGATAGTTCTTAGGACAGTCGGCCTAGCTCCTCATTTGCTGTAGGCGAAGGAGTTTCTGAGTATATTGTTCTAGCAACAACTTTCTGGCGGGTATTTACACAATGATATCTCTATGTAAGTGAACTATCCAGTGTGACGTCTAGGTAGGTTGATGTCCTAGTGAAACACTATAATATTTGCCTGACAGGTCTTAAGTTGGAAGGCACTTTCGTGTGTCTAATTTTGTTTGAGTCAGTGGTGCCAAGACTGCCAAAAACAAATTATAATTTATATATATTGTATATATTATGCTAACTCATCGGTGTATATGAAATGTTTGGTATACTCTGATGTTGGTGCGTATTATTATTTTGTCTCCTACATCGACTGTTTCGTCAGCACAACACAGAATTTCCTGTTTTGTAAACTGTTAGTATTTAGGTCTGTCATAGAGTTTGGTCATCAGAATCCTGTGGTTAACTGTATCCTAGGCGGATCTTAGGTTCAACCAATGCTAGCCCTGCTATTAGTTTGCTTTTATATCCGCCTTCTATGTGTTCCAAAAGGTTGAGGATTTGACTAGTACATGACTTCCCAGGTCTAAGGCCCGTATCGCCAGTCGTCCCTACAATTGTAGGGCGCCTTTATGGCCTCCTTGATTGTCATAGTTTTCTACTTCTCCGTGTTAGAACTCTATTTTGAGGTTATGTCACAAACATCTATTTGCATCAAATTGTGCTTGCTTTTGAGTTATATCATGTTTTATCAGCCTGAAATTTCCTACAATTTAAAAAGAAAACATATCTTCACAAGAGGAGAGCGCTGACGCTGACACGGAACAAGTGTAATCTAGAAATTTTTGAAGGAGAGAAAGGAGTATGACAATCAAGGAGGCCATAAGCGCGCCCTACAATTGCAGAGACGACTGACAATTCGGGCCTAAACCCAGCTTGTTGTGGAATAGGCTTTTGGTCGACGATGTTTGCAATGCGGTCGAGTGTCAGTCTTTCATATGATTTAAAAGGTGACATAGAAATGGAATAGGTCGATAGTTTTTGGAAGAGTCAGTGTCCTTGCCAGATTTTCGTCATGCTATAACTTTTCTTTTGGGACTTTGCACTCGTCGCGACACTGATTGGAGAGGTCCAGGACCCAGTTTTTAGCACCTAGCAAAAAATTTAATATTTGTTCCACGCATATATCATCTACTCTCGCAGCTTTTCCATTTTTGTGTGAATTCCTTGATTGCGTAAAAGGTAATTCAATGATATTATGTTCGAGTTGTCGCTTCCATACTGGTGTGGATGGTCCTCCATGCAAAATTAGTCATAGCAACGTCAACGTATTTTTTGTTAAACATGTTCGTAGCTAACTTTTTTTAAATAGCTAACCTATGCCGATCATAAACCTTTATGAACTGATGACAGGGTAATAGTTTTTAGTTATGTGGAAGTATATAATCAACCTACTTTACAACTACTTTTTGTTCACTGTTTGAATTGGAATTAGAAATGCTTCTGATCCGCCACTGATCGGCGGCCCGCTAGGTTTTCCGTTGAGCCTGCGGCGGGCGGCATGGGGCCCCGCGTTGAGTCAGACGACAACGGACCGGCCTGCCAGACCTCCGATCCGCGAAGCGCCAACGGTGGTGGTTTATTGTTTCGCGAAGAGCGCTCCTGTACTAACGCGCCTACCGCAACTTCGTGCTTCGAGCGCTTACTTTTGCCAGACACATTCATACCTGTATTCGACATGGCTGTGTTCACACTTCATCTCGCGATCGTCGCGCTATGTGTGGTTTTCGTAAATTGCCAGGATGCAACAACCCTTGCCCCGCAGACATCCCCTCAAGAGGCAGCCGATGCTCCAGCGGCAGCTGATGCTGAAGCAGCAGCAGATGCCCCAGCGCCAGAAACCTCCCCTCAACCAGAGCCTACTAACCGTTCGGTTCCAAAAGATGTAGTTGTGCCAGAACAGGTGAGTTTTTCCTCTTCAAGGTCTATCGCTTTTTCAAGTACGTTGTTAAATTCTAAGTAATAGTGTTGAAGATTGTTGAGTTCTAAGTATTAGCGCTTTAGACACAGTTCTCTGTTTGCGTCTAACTCATTCTCCATCTGCAAACATGAAATGTGTCGTCTTCCAAGCTCTCTCCTATCTACGTACCTTACAAAAGTGCATACATATATGCATCGTACATATTACATACGAATGACACTATAAAAACATTGTTTATAAAACCAATTACATTTTTGTCTCCCCCACTTTTCCCATTAAATATGGACTATCAGCAATATGAATACTTCACCAAGCGCTAGTTTTAGAAGTTTGTAGATATCTGTCGTACTATCGACTTAAATTATTGCCTTTCTCATCCAAATACGCTCTTCACCCAGTCACCACTGTAATAAATGCCGCCACCAGTATTTACTGCAGATCCTACGTAAAGCTTGCGTAGATGAACAGACAGAAGGAGTACGTGTTATTCCATCGCGATAATATTAAAATGCATTAATACAATAATAGCTCATTGAACTTCTTCGTGGTAGATAGCTGTCAGAGAATTCCACTGCAATGGACTTACGAAAGCCCAGTTTGAATTACGGCAAAACCGTTTATAGTGAAAGAAGTGCTAAATAAGATCCACATTTAGCAAACGTCGTTGAACAAATCAATCAAGTCCCTCAATACCTCACACAAATAGTTTTCCGACTGATTTTCTCTAGGACTTCAAAGCAAACATTAGGATATTTTCATTGTTATGAATTGTGAGAGATGGCATACTTGTTCAGTGGTTTGAATGCGCCTAAGCATTTTTGGGAAGGTTAATACCAGCCCTGGTTACATTGTATTTCTCTACCAGTTTCCTCTCACAATGTCAGTTAATAATCAGATATTTCCAACAAATAATTTAAGGCTAACAGAGACTGTCAAATACTCTCATCAAAACAAATTGATGATACGATGTTGCTTAGCTTCGCGCTCAACTAATCTGGTGCACTACAAATCTTCGTAACGAAATATTAGAAATTCATTGTTTGAGAGAACTGAATACAATCTATAGGATCATTCTGCTTTACTGTTTCTAACTTATAGTACCCCATCCAGAACCCTTGGATTCATTACCAAATTTAGGTTCGCCAAAAACATTGGCTACTTCTTGTGGTCTAATGGCTAATTAAAGCGGACGCTCTTCATCCCCTGTATTTTCCATAGTTAAGGTGTTCCTTCAGACCATTCTGTTGATTTACTGTTGATTTTGTCCAATGAGAGTAGATATAAGAGCTGTTATGTTAAATATTACTGTTGCTCCCTCGTGCAAACTCTCAGAAATGACCAAAGCCAAAAAATTATAACAAAACCTGAAAAGTAACTATTTTCGCGTTGGCTGTAATTACGAGTCATACGCTTTTAGCGATTTGTTTTCTTACAAGTTTCAAAACTTTTTTTTTCACGCTTGCGCTGTCAATGTTACGATTGTTACTTGTGCTTCAATACTCCCATGTTATATCCGTTACGAGCAGAAAGGCCTACAAACTTCGCTTTTTTTCAATGTTTCACCAACTTTATCACTAATTGTACAATGTAGAAGAAAGCGCGGCATTGTCATCAAATTTGAATGCTACGCGAAATAAATTTATTGAAACTGCCTCGCGCTAAAGTAATCGATGTACGACACTGTTCATGTATAGGAATCCGAGGACTTGAGGAATGGGGTGCAATTCACCACCTGGAACGAGATCACCAACGGTCATACTCGTACATTCCCGACAACAATTAATCGGGTTCATTCATGGATTAAAAATTGTATTTTAGATATTAACTAATTGTAATTGTTGTAAAAATGATATATGGGTGAATATCCGGTATTTTAGCTTTCAATGTTCCACCAAAAGAATCCTAATCAAAGAGACATATTGTGTAAATAAACCACCCTGTAAAATTATGATGCTTTGAAACATTTAATGAAATTGAGATAACAATTAAAATTTAGGCGCAATCTGCTTGAAAACTAACAAAAAGCATCATGCTCGATTTCCATCTTTCACTACAAATATCAACCGATGTCTATATATGTAACTGGTATTACAATATACGAATATTCTTTGTATTACTAGATACACATTATGACATATCTTCGTGAAAAGAATCACTAAAAACTGAGTAGCAAATCAAGAAATGGTAGTTTGAAACTAGCGCGTTTCGGCTTACTGAAACCGCGTCATTTACTGATGTAATGTCGGCCGATACCTTGTTGCCAGTATTTCCAGTATTTACTCTGGTAAGTATATCTCTGTGAAGTCCAATGGTATATTACTGCAACTATGTAGAAAACAACGATTCTTAATTACAAAAGCCCTGAATCACATTCAACAATATAATAATGTATCTTAATTTTTTTCGATGTCATGTACGTTTTTGTCACTACTCTGGCGTTACTTCACTAGCAGGAATGGTTTCAATTGTTTTTCCATTCCTGTTATTTTATCAATTTCTACTTGATGCCATTTCTTCCCAATAAAAAAACTTATAACCAATGAAAGCAACTGCTGCGAACCGCTATCAAAAAAATCTGGATTCCAAACACAACAGTTATCCTGAGGGTGCGTGGGCTCTCAATCTATTCCTTGCTTTTATTTCAAGGCCGATGCAACTAAAGACTTTTTTAGCTAATGGTATTTATATGTTTATAGAATGGGGTCACACATTTCCCCCTGCGTCCCATAAACACTGTCAAAACTATTATATCTGACCCTGGCAAATATGTATCACATATAGACAGAAAAAATATGAAAATAAAATAAGCTATTTTTCTTAGTTCACACTGAAGAACCAAATACCGTTTATCCACCCATATCCTTAAAAATTTAAAATGTTTACTCATATGACCTTACACGAGGTCGTTTAAGGTACAAAGTTTTCCGTATACCATAGTTTCGTATTATCTTAGATACTGTAGAGATAGATGCTGAGAAAAAATATGTATCGACATCAAGGATACAATAAACATGCAGTGTACAAGAAAACTCATTAGCAACAAAAACCTTATAATAGTATGACCTGCAAGACCAAAGTCAGTTCTTACTCATTTTTTGAGTTCGTCTCACTGACAAGTTAAAATAGATATGCTGCAAGTCACAGAGAATCGAGTCCGTATTCGTATTTTCAGTTATTGATTTCATTTGTATGATAACACAATTATGAAACTTCCGCTCAAGTTTAAGGACAGGAGAACTTCATTGAAACATGAGGCATTTATTAAATATCATTACAGCATTCGATCACGGTGGTATCGATATGAACGTAATGCAACTAAAATGGGTTATTGCCATGTAAAATATGTCTACCGTTATTTATCTGCGACACACAGATACTAAGCAAAGTCTTTTAAATCAGATATAGATTGAATTGAATCACAATCAAATATAAATTTCTGATAAACTAAACGTTGCCAATAAGTATTTATACTTGCCTTACTAGGAACTTGAGGAATTAAAAAATTTGGCACATAGTCGAACAATAAAAATAGAAAACCGATTGTTTAATACATGTGAACTCACAGGTAAATAATTAGTGTAGCATATGTATAAATATTAAAGTACATTTATAGAAACATGCACACATACTAGTGGTTGTAAAAGTAACGTATTTTAGGAAAAGATCAGTCATATGACATACACAATAGAGGAATTGGTCATCGAAATTTTATAAGATAAAGACATAACACACTAAAGTGGAGAATCGATACATTTCTTCACATTGCCAGCTTGTATTATGTAATGTTTAATTGAAGAATTTCTTACATCTTGTGAAATATTGCTAAATATATCTGTCTGTATTTGACCTAGTTTTAAATTATTTTAGTTCAAAGTCATTATCACCAGCAAAGATCACTACCACTCTTCCTAGAACTTCGAACATTCTAGATATATTTCGCAAGCTTTTAATTTCTTTGTCCCTTACTGATATTTGCCTCCATGGCTGCTTAGGCATAAAAAGGCATTTTTATTATTCATATTTCATGAATATAAAATTATGCAAAAATTCAGTATTCCAGAAGTGAATGAAGATTCTGACAAGAATCGAGAGAGCTATGACCGATTGCTTTCTCTTGATATGCTAAACATCAATTTGATGTCTTGATGAATATGTAACGAGTTTCATTCACAACTTACTAAGTGGATGACTACACTATTGAAAACAAATGCCGCATATCTTTGCATTATTTATATCAATTGTATGTCATTATTGGTGTATTCAGATCTCTACAGAAGAAATAGTAAAATTACCCTGTTAGAATAGAACAGAAAATCATTTATTTAGCTTTAAGCTACTTCAAACAATCATAAACATTACTTGCAAAAAATGTGTTAAATTTACAAAGTGGTCGTCACATCAAACCAAAATAGTCTCTCCGAAGTCTCTTTTTATAAATGATAGCATTACCAGATGTTTTTAAAATACTAAGCAGATTGTTTGATACATTTTTAGACCTTCAATAAACATTGACTTCTCTAAACCTTTAGATTTAAACCTTTGTGTATGGAAGTTTTCTTTTGATCTAATTCCGTAACCTTGCATTTTAAATCTTTTTTCTTAGAAACTGTTCTAGATAAGGTGGAGCCTAAATATTGTTAGTTATACATAAAATAATTAAATTTGCCTATTAAATGATATGGTGTTGTTTAGCATATGCTGTATAGGGGTATACCTGGTACAGTTTTATAATATCCGCAGATATTTAATAGGATTTGTAACATTTGCTTTTCCTCATTTATGCAAGTATGTATGTACTCAAAACTGATGTACAATAAGTAAACTTAGGAATAATTATTATTATATTGCGCTAGGATTTAGAATGTCACAAATTCTACGAAAAAATATTCTTTGTAGACCGAGGTTGAACTACTGCCTCGCATTTCGACTCTGTTATCTGTCCACTGACAAGGGGCAGTTCAATACTTCGTAAAAACAGTACTGTATTTTAATGAAAAAGAGAAACCATTCATTCGACGCTGACGCAGCTGGGATATCCTTTAGACCTTGATAGTACTTCTCTCCCTATAACCTGGTCCCAAGGTTCAAGGCCCAGATAGGGTCTGGCTTGTAGAACTGGTCTCTTGTTTCTAGTGCTGCTATGCTGTCCGGGTTCAAAATTGATGCTCTTACTCTCACTCGGTCGGCGATATGGGTGTCTTCTACCAAAATGTTAAAGGATTTTGTTCCCATCAGCCTTCCTCCACGATTCTACCGCGAGTTAGGCCTGTCAGATGAACAAGTTCTGCTTCCCATTACAGCTACGCCAAGCTCTGTATTGTCAGAAGAAGTTGAACAGGTTTTTTCCCGTTCTACTAACCCTAGGCAGTACAGAAATCGGATCAACGATCTCAATTTGTCATCTTTGTAACAGTCGCGGTACCTCGGAATTTAGGCATATGCCTTAGCGGCTGCACAGTGTAAGGGAGTGTAACGGTTTCACCGTCCGATCGTATTTATTAAATCACTTCTCGATTATCATTTCATTAATCCCATCTCTAGCTTTTCTACTTGGAACATTTTCCGCTTGGAGCGCTTGATGCGGAGTTCCTGATCTGCGATCTTCCTCGCGCTTCCTTTTCACCTGAGCCGCCGATCGAACAACGGCTAGAAATTTCTTCTCAGTAGCACAAGGTTATATAGCACCATGTGCTAGAATTTTCTAAAATGTGTGTCCGTATAGGACAAAAATGATTTGGGGCCACCCCCTTTCTCTTTCCTTTTCACTTTGCCTAGCCTTGGCCAATATTTTCACCCATGCATGTACCTTGGCAGCGCCATCGCCTTTAACTTCGCCTACAACTGGTTGTGAAGCCACTATATGGAGGTCACCCCTCATAACTGGGACCTCCCTTTCAAGCCCCTGGCCATCCTGGCTTCAGTCGAGTAAAAATGGACCAGCGAAAGATAAGTCGATAGCGTTATAGCAGCGCCAAAGATGTAAAACTTATTTTGTTATTTTTGTAAAATTGTAATGTAATGAAAATGCCTTTTTTTCTGTTAAATAAAATCTGTTAAATTTTTGTGTTCTGTTTGTTCTTCTATCCTCTAGCCATGCCATGGTCGACACACAGCTACACGCCTGTAGATGTCTTCATGCCACCGACTGAGCTACCGGAAGCTAATGCTAACGCCCTTTCTGTGATTGTGCAGAAAAGTTGGAATCTTCATTGCATTCCATCTTTTCTGGACTTTTTGCGGAAAGGAAGCGTTACATAAATTGGCACCCGCAACGTGAGGCTTCGATAGGTGTTTGGCTTTGTCGACAAGTGGTTTGCTATTGGAAGATTGGCAAACAGAACATAGTTTTCAAAATTCTTTACAATCTTTGGCAGCATTTCTATTTTTAATTGCTTTTGGTACTCAAATTTCTAATTCCTTAATCATCCTTACTTTTTGCTTAATGTTTAAAATTTTTTATCAAAAGATTAAAATTTTTCCACCTGTTTATTTCATAGGCATACTATTAACTTTTAAATTGTCTTGTTTAGTAGTCAGCGAGATCATTGCCAGAATTTTTTTTCTCACATACTACTATAGTTTTTATTTACTGCTGGGGACAGTTATAACTTTTTTCTCATTGTACTTTTGAGATTGATGATATTTTGATATTTTTTTGTTGTTGAATATTGATAGTCTGGGGACTTTAGGTTTCCCAGCATTTTTGTCGAATATCATCAAACTTTTGATTGAGGTTGTGACTATTGTTGTTGATAGTTTACATATTCTTATATGCTTTTCATTTTTGATCACTAACCTCTTAGTTTTTGAAAGTATTTCTTCATGTGCAGTTTTTTGATTTCTTGAGACTTTTCATGTACGCATATATAGCCTAATTGTTGGATCTCTGGTGTACTGATATAGCTCTCATGATGTTTGGTACGTAGGAAATTTACTTTCAAAATTATTTTTGCCTTCCCCAAATGTATTTACTTTTTGAATTTTTGACTGTACTTGAACTTTTGATCATTTGTTTTCATTCTGATGGCAATAATCTACTGACTAG